TAGATAAATAAAATATATGGGTCCTACTGTATAAAAATATGACAAAACTTGATATCATCTAGCTATATACACACCTCACATTGACATAGCACTTTTGAACTTTCAAAACTATTATCGTTATGTTTGTTGCCATCGCCCTCAGCAATACATTAATAATTTTGTATTTAAAATATTGATAATGTGTAATATTTTTAAGTGATCAAACCATTTCATGTGCATTATCCAGTCATAAACTCTATAGCAGCTCTACATAGTAAGTAACTGTTATCCTCCTTCATGTTCAAGAAAACATGTTATGGACAACAATGGCAACAACAGTAAGAATATTGATACTGAAACCCACCTCAGGAGTTAATATCAGACGTAAGATTCAAGCTGGTGATTCAAAGTTAGGCATTATACTGCAACAGTTCTCACAAACACCATCCTTCAAGAACTATGGAATACCAGCTTTCACAATAAAGGTTTATTTGTTTTATAATCTTCAACAAGGTGAACCATAGAAACAATTACACAAAATGTTAGAAATTGCATGCTTTCTCTTGTTTTTACTCAGAATTGCCACTAGATGGAGGCAGACTGCTGGAAATATGATTTATAGCCACCTTTAGAATGTTACTTTACTCAGAATTGCCACTAGATGGAGGCAGACAGCCGGAAATATGATTTATAGCCACCTTTAGGATGTTACTAGTTATTTTTTCCCCTTCCTTCCTTCCTTCCTTGTCTTGTTTTGGGCCCAAAAACAAGCCTGGAAGAACTGGAAGGGACCCTGTGGATCATCGAGTGTGCAGTCCAGGTGGTCTACACTACAGGACACTCTCTTCTACTCACTAGCATTCATGAAAGAGACATGAAGGCGGGGGGAAATCCCAGAACCTGACTCCTTTTTTTTTTCATCAGTTAACCACTTCTCCCACTTCTCACCCAAATACAAAGCAATTGTCAGGGCTGTTTTTCAACAAGTTCTCTAGGTATCTATTGCTTGGAGATAAAAAAAGGTAATTAAAATGTCTAGGGGAAAAATGGTAGTTAATACAATGAAGTGGGGGTTGGGTTGAATTAAACCTTTTCTCCCAGCACTGTGTTCCTGATCTAATAATACTCCTCTCCAGTTTTTGTTTTTTTGTTAAAGAGGAAGAGGAAGAATACAACAACGTCTAAGTAGATGTGTACGCACTTGCTGTGCACGTCTTGCTGTGCCCAGTCATTGGAATTACTTCTCTAAAAATAAAACCAGGAAGACAGTTTCAAGCATGAAACTCAGCCATTTCATCGAGTCTGGCCCTCTCTTGTTCAGCTGACTTGGTGGGACAACCCTACCCTACCCCTGCCCCATGCTAGAAGCCCTCAAACACTGCCAAATCATGCAAACTTGCCCACCCGTGAGGCCCAAGGGTTCTGTGCTGACATTAGCAAGCTTGTGCAAGGGAGATGGCCAGATGCCAAGGCAAATAGAGCAGCCCTGCACTATTGCAACATTTGCACAAAAGGCATTTTGGCAACTGTGGCTTTTCCCATCCCTGCGTAAGCCGCCTTTATAGATAGCCACCTCTCTCTTCTTTTTTACAAAACCAGCACCGCACCCCCTCTTCTTTGTCTGACTGCTCTGATTAGTGATTACGGTATCTCACTAATGTCTGCTAACACAAACAAAACAACCTTAGTTGCAAGTCCAAAGGCCAAGCTTCCTAGTGATGTCCAGCTTGAGAACGCAGGCTGTTTGCTTGCATCTTAAGGGACAGGCAGACAGTGCAGGGCCCTCTGGGTGCTGCTGGATTACAACCCCCAGCATTCCTCGGTGTTAGTTATGCCAACAGGACTGATGAGAGATGAAGTGCAACATCTGTAGGGTTCGTTTTGCTCACCCCTGCCATAGGGCAACGCAGCTGCAATAGGGTTAGAGCGGCCGGTTCTAAATATGAGGGGCCTTTTGGGTGCTGCAGTCTTTCAAGTAGCAACAGTACCTTAATTGGGCCTTTTCATTTTACCCCCAGTGCCCCTCCCCGTACAAAAGGTATAAAGACAAAAGCATTATAAAAAGTGTAAATTAATGCAGCTGGCTGGATAGCTCAGTGAGGGGGATATCAGCTGCAGAGCATGGTTGGGAGTTTGATTCCCTACCATGCCTACCCCGGGGAAAAAGCCAGCCTGTGCAGCCTTGGGCAAGCAGCACAGTCCCAGAGGGCCCCCTAGAAGAAAAGGATGGCAGACCCCTTCTGAGTGCTGTCTACTTAGGAAGCCCTGGGATGGCTTGCTGTAAATAAAAATTGACTTGATGGCATGTGGGGGGGGGTGCTCACTGGAAGGACAGATCCTGAAGCTGAGGCTCTAATACTTTGGCCATCTCATGAGAAGAGAAGACTCCTTGGAAAAGCCCCTGATGTTGGGGAAGTGTGAAGGCAAGAGGAGAAGGGGACGACAGAGGACAAGATGGTTGGTTGGACAGTGTCACCGAAGCTACCAGCATGAATTTGACCCAACTTCTGGAGGCGGTGGAAGACAGGAGGGCCTGACCTGCTCTGGTCCATGGGGTCACGAAGAGTCGGACACAACGACTAAATAGCAACAAAATGCAGGGGGGGAGGGTGTTTAGATACCCCAATATATGGGAAGAGATATCTGTTTCACCAATAAGCCACGGGTTCCGGCGGCACGGTTGCCCCCCCCCCCAGATGTATTTACCTACTTCCAGGGGTCTGCCCTCAGGAAACATACCAGCTCCCAAAAAGGGTATTGCTGGCATGTGGAAGGGCAACACCGCCATGCTTGTGCTTGTGGCTTAGAAGCGGAGCGGCGAGGCGGGGCACTCATTTCAGTCAGACATACCCTCGCCTCGGAAGGGCTGTTTTTCGACCGTCGGCAGGAAGCACCAGGCCTTGGAAAAGTCATCTTTCAAACTACAGCCTCCCCAGCCAGCAAGGGCACTGACCTTGCCCGCCCTTGAGACGCTGGCGGAGGGGGCTCTGGGAGTTGTAGTCCAAACATAACTTATCTGGGGAACCATCCGCCTTCCTCGTTCCCCCGCTCCTTCTCTTCCTTTGCGGTGTCCGGTCCCGGTTGAGAGGAGGCAGGTCCCCCCAACGCCTTCCCCGCGTCACCTATGGCCCCTGGGGAAAGAGGATGATGACTGGGGGTTCTGCCGGGTCTGGACGCCGGTCCTTTTCTAGCAATATTGTCACAACGCCTGAACGCCCTCGCACCGCGAAGGCTCTCGGCTGCAAAAACCCCAATCATCACCAGAGTTGCGAAGCGGGCTTGGAAGGTGGGTAGGCTCGACCCCGGAGCGTTTGGACGGCCAGCTCTCGGGCTCGCGATTGCAGCCGGGCGTCACGTGACCTGCCCCGCCCGCGGTCCCGGGACTTGAATGGAGCCCCACGTGACCCTCTCTCCGTAAAGGCGGCGCTGGGGAAGTTCCGCGGGGGCGGAGGTGGCGCGGCTCGTTCCTGCCTGGTTGGCTGGGAGGGGGGGAATCTTCTCTCTCTGCCCAGGATGCCTGCATTCAACATCTCCAAAGAAGCGCTGGTTGGGACGGCAACTTACATTTGCCTCTTTATCATTTTATGACTGCAGGATCTAATGACCCATGTCCAAATAAACTTATACAAATACCAGAAATTCACTTCCTCCCAACACACACCATGTTTTTCAAGGGAGTCAGCTCACACATTTAGCGGCATAGAAGAGGAAAGCTGTCATCTTGCTCTTTGCCTCAAAAAGCAAACATCTTGGGTAGACCTTGTGTCCAGCAGTGGAGTATCCGTTCTCACCGCCATCCCCGTGCGCCGTGGTGTAGTTTCACCCCCCGTGCCATCCACTTTCTGATGCAGAAGGGAGAAGCGGGGCCCGCGTTGCTTAGGGTCAGAACACGGGGGCGGAGGGGGATCCCGACGTTCAGGGGCTTCGGCTGGCCTTCCAGTTCCTGGATTTCAGAGGGCTCTCCCAGGGAAGGTCGCGTAGCTACATATTTGGAGAAGTCGTCACGGCGGGACTGAGTCCTTTCCTAAAAGTGTTGGAGCAGGCAATCCAACAGGTGCAGTTTCGTCACCCTTGTGTGGCGAGCTGCCGTGAGACGCGCTTCCTTCACCTTTGCGCTCCGTTACCCTCGAGGTCGTCGGAGCGGTCGTCCACCTGTCTTTTCTCGCTGCCAGGCGGGTGGAGCTGTGCCGGCTGGCAGGGGTACCGAGGCGGGGCTACCGGCCTTTGGAGGGCAAGGGCAGCCAGGGCTTGGCACCTAGGGGTGCCCCTCCCAAAAGACAGGGTGACGGGAGGGGGGTAC